AGAGAATTTTTTTGGATTTCACACCCTAAGCAAAGGCAACAAAAGCAAAAATAAACAAGTAAACAAGCAAACATCAACCTATATGGCTTCTGCACAGCAAAGGAAAGCATCAACAAAATACAAAGGCAACATACCAAATGGGCAAAAATATTTGCAAGTCATATATCTGATAAGGCATTAACAGCCAAAATATATAAAGAGCTCATATGACTCAATAGCAAAAAAAAAAAAAAAAAAAGTCCAATGAGAAACTGGGCAGAGGAACTGAATGGACATTTTCTCAAAGAAGACATACAGATGGCAAACAGGTATACAAAAAGGTGCTGAACAGGGACGCCTGGGCGGCTCAGTCAGTTGAGCATCCAACTCTTCGTTTCAACTCAGTTCAGGATCTCAGGGTCCTAGGATGCAGCCCTGTATCAGGCCCTGCGCTCAGCAGGAAGTCTGCTCAAGGATACTTTCCCTCTCCCCCTGCCCCTCCCCTCCGCTCATGTGCACTTGCTCTCTCTCTCTCTCTCTCATCAATCAATAAATCTTTTTTAAAAAGGTGCTGAACATCACTAATCATCAGGGAAATGCAAATCAACCCAACGGAGACTTCACTTCACATCTGTTAGAATGATTACTCTCAAAAAGACAAGAAATAACAAGTTGGATATGGAGAAAAGAGAACCCTTATGAACTGTTGGTTTGAATGTAAATTGATGTAGCCACTGTGGAAAAACTATGGAGGTTCCTCAAAAAATTAAAAATAGAACTTCCCTATGATCCAGCAATTCCACTGGGTATTTATCCAAAGAAAATGACTAACTCAGAAAGATACATGCACCCCTATGTTCACTGCAGCACTATTTAAAATAGTTAAAACATAGAAGTAAACTAAGTGTCCACTGATGGACAAATGGATACAAAAAATGTGATACACACACAATTTAATATTATTCAGCCATATTAAAGGACGCAATTCTGCCATTTGTGACATGGATAGACCTTGAGGCCATTTTGCTAAGTGAAGTAAGTCAGACAGAGAAAGACAAACACTGTATGATCTCACTTATATGTGGAATCTAAAAACAAACAAGCAAAAAAACAACAATTAAAAAACCAAATTCACAGAACATATTGGTGGTTGCCAGAGGCTGGAAGTGGGGATGGGGTGAAATGGATGGAAGTGGTCAAAAGGTACAAACTTCCAGGTGTAAAATAAATTAAGTCCGGGGGATACAATGTACAGCATGGTGACAACTGTTAACAGTACTGTCTTACACATTTGAAGTTGCTAAGACAGCAGATCTTAAAAGTTCTCATCAGAAGAAAAAAAATGGTCTACCTGTGCAGTGACGGATGTTAACTAGACTTATTGGGGGTGATCATTTCACAATATTTACATATATCCCAGCATTATGGTGTACACCTAAAGCTAATCTAAAATTATATGTCAATCATATCTCAATTTAAAAAATATTTTTAAAACCCTGCCACAAAAATTGTTGGAGAGACAGGGAGTTATGGAAGAAACAGACAATCATGGGAAACAACAGAGAACTGTGTGAGACAGGGAATTGTGGGAGATCATAAAAAATTGTGGGAGACATGGGGAATTCTGAGAAAGGACAGAGAATTGTTGGAAAGGGAATTGTGGGACAAACTGGGGAACTGTAAAGGGAGGAATATTATGAGAGAGCCAAGAATTGTGAAAGAGAGTGGAGAATTGGGGAGAGATAGGGAATTATAAAAGAAACAGGCAATTATGGGGGGAAAAAGGAGAATCATCCAGAAGACATGGAATTGTGGGAGCTCTAAGAAGTACAAAAGCAGCACTTTGTAAACATACGCTACTGTAGGTTTGGAAAGGAGACTTATTTTACAAGGACCAGTCATAAGTTCAGTTTGTAATTACAAAAGACCTTCAATTTTTCTTCTCTGCTAAACCCTTGAGTCTGACAGCAGGAGTTCATATCACACTACCACAGATTGGCAAACCCACATGCACTGTCTTGTATAGGCAGATGTACACACACATACACAATACACACGTATACTCTCACACACACACTTGTACACGTACACATACACACACAAACACAACATACATAGAAATATATATGCACACATATCTTGGAAATTTCAAACATGATAACAGAAATAAACTAATAAAATGGTTGGGAAATTTTTTAAATCTTACAAAAAATAAAACAAGATGAAAAAGTGATAGAATAATATATAAGAAAATTAGAGAGTCAGTCCAGGAATCCAACATATGAGAAATAGAGGTTCCTTAAAAGAGACAATGAAGAAAGAGGGAGTGGAGCAAGTTATCAAGAAAATTAATAATACAAGAAAATATCCCCAATGTGAAGGTTATGGGTTTCCAGAATGAATGGTCCCATCAGGTACCAAGCCAATGAAAGCAAAGAGGTCTATATCAGCACACCTCTTTTCAGGCCACTAAAAGAAAGAGAAGTTAAAAATATTGTTGAGCGAAAAAAAGAAATGACACTTGACTTTTCAACATCAACAATAGAAACTAAAAGACAATGAAGCAACTGCTTAATAATTCTGAGAGAAATGTTTCTAAACCTAGGATTATATATCCAAACTACCAATCACGTGGGAGGGTAAACCACAGACGGTTTCTGGTTTTCAAGACCTCAAAAACTGATGTGCTCCCAAAACAATGCAAAGAAGAATACAGGGTATCCAAGAACCAGAGATCCAACACAGGATAGGAAAAGGCTGAAAGGAAGTGCCAAGAAGATGACTAGCAGAAATCACTTCCGAACATTTTAGAATTGGGCAGTGGCAGAGGGGAGGTGCTTATCTGTGAGAGAGGGCTCAACGGAAAAAAGGGAAACATATACATTAGCTGATGTATTTAAATGCATTGGGAGGAGATTTACAATGCAGACAGGAAGCTTAGGGATAACCTAAAAATCCGGACAAAGGGGGAAAAGGCAAGTTATTAAATTCTATTGAAAAAGTTGTACGAGAAAAAAAATCATCTTTGGTCATAACAAACAGTCCCAATAATGTAAATACTAAACTGTGATGTATCCAAAACCATGTAACTATTGGCACAGGGGAGGGACACGTGTGTTTGCGTTAGCATGTTTTTTGGAACATGGAAGGAAAAGTAGAAGAAACAGGTAAAGAGCAGTAAGTCTTTGCCTGCGGAGAGTGGAAATTGAGGTTGAAAGTGCCCCCCCAGTCTCCCTACCCACCTATAGCTCTCCTTTAATGCCCTGTTTGGTAGCTCCTTCTTTATAAAGCATCCTTGTTCTTTCCTTCCTATCCACTTTTGGCACATGACTCTCGAAACAGTCACTTCTGCCCCTTTGTCTCCAATAGTCTGCACATACATACACTGAGATGTAACAATACGGTTATTTGTTTGCTTGCCTATCTCTCCAATTACCAGAGGTTTTGGGCCTTCTTGTGCCATACGCCCCCGTGGATTGTGGTGAAGGCTGTAAGTGTCTTCTCAGAATAATATTTTTACGTATATAAAACAAAATACAAGAAATCACTAACGAAATCAATTATATTAAAAAGAAGTTATCCGCATATTTTAGAAAAACAGATTTTGATCATTAAAGGTCAGGTTCCCCAGGAAATATACATTGATATAACATAGATTTTAAAATGCTGTCTTGATCCAGTTTGGTCAGTTCCCTTTTTTGAGCAGCTAGGTCCACACTCACCAACCACCTCCCTTGCTGGGCTCTCACACTCTGAGCCACTATCCCCTGTACACCTGCTCCAGAGCCTACCTCACCTGTTCCTTCCCCCTGACCCCCTGGCTCACGAAGGACTCCAGCACTTCTGCATGTGGCATCCCACCATGTGATGTATAACCCCCCTCTTGGGATCTATGAGCACAATAAACTGTTTATTCAATGGTAGCTGTTTCCAGATCTGATCAACTTCACCAAATCTAAATAATAATCAACAATTAAACTTATTAAAATGGCTGAGACTCCAAGCAATGTGCATCAGAGTGCTCTCATGAACAGCAATGAGAGAGCGATGGGAGGTCTGGGCAAAGGGAGAAGTCGAACTGTGATTGCAGTCACAATGGAAGCCTCAGTCCCTGACACTGGGAGGGCCCTTCTGAGGTGACCTCCTTGAGGCGAGAGCCTGGGGTTTATGTACCCTTGCAGAGGCCACTTGGAGGCAGCAGCCTGTCCCCAAGGAGAGGATGTGATTTTGCCTGAGGCAGTTCTCTTTGGCAGAGGGCAATTCCTGGAGAGAGACTCAGCCCAGCGGTGTCAGCTGCTAACAGCCCCCAGCACCCTGGAGATGGCCCACCGGGCCCTGAAGGGCCATCTGGGCATGCTTCACAGTTCCATCACAGTGATACAGAAAGGCATACTTCTTAGTAACACTTTTAAGTAACAAGATAAAATTATCTTAATTTCAAAGTAGTGATGAATAGTATTTTAAGACAGAAACAACCATCATTTGTGACAATTTCTCTGTGGTTTCTATTAGTGCCACATATTGCTGACACTACTAGGATTTGTTGCCTGCATTCCTGGTGGAAAAAATACTGAATTTCTGTTAGAGATAAGTGAAAATACAGACCTTCAAGTCCACACACCCAGTTAAGAAGGCCTTGGGAGCCGGAACCTTGATTTGTTCATTTTGGGATCTCCAGAGTTGGCCGCAGTTCTGGACACCTGCTGATGTTATTTGAGTCATTACTATAATTACAACTGATGAGATACAATTTAAAAGATAGGAACTTAAAACTAACACCTCTAAAGCAACCCTTCTGCGGCTTAAAGGAGCTATAGTAGAGAGCCTCGCTCTGTGGAAGTCTCTGGCTCAGCCCAAACTCTCCCTGCCCGCGCTGGTAGGGAGGGGCGGGGTCGGGGAACCGGCGCTCGCACTTATAGGTCGAGGAGGGAGGGGGCGGACCCGCTTCTGCGTGCTCGACGGAAGCCCTACCTCTTTAGCCCGCGCCCCGCCTCCCGCGCGCCCGGAAGTCCCGCCTTCGGAAAAGGAAGTAGCGGTGCGCTGGGGCGCCAGCGGTGACCGCGACGATAGCGGTGACCGAAGGAGGAGAAGGCGGCCGCGGGCTGGCGGTTAGAGGCGGGGCCGGTTCCTCGGAGCCGCTCGGGACAGGAGTCAGGTGCGGAGTAGCAGGCTGGCTGAGGCCGGTGGGTTTTGGGGTCCCGGGACTGGAGCAGGTGGGACGCGGAGGGGCCGTATGAAGACGACTTTGGCCGCTTTCCCCCCTCGGAGGTCCTTTCCTTCCCTCCTTCCTTCCTCGAATCCCTTTTCGGCGCTGTACCCTGCCCTGTGTCCCAATCCTTTTCTAAGCCCGGGTGTGGCGGTGTAGTCTGGACTCCCCTCTGGGTCACCACGTTTAGGGCTCCCTGTTACCCAGACCTACACTCCCTCTCCGTGACGTAGTTTCTCAGGGACCCCCCCCTTCACCTCACCCCCAAAATCCGCACATCTTAGAAACGTGCCCCTAAAGGTTGGCGTGGTGTACATTTCACACTAGTATTTCCCAAAGGGGTTAATACATTAAAGCTATCCCTCGAAGTGGATACCTTGCGCTGTAGATTTACATCAGAATGACAAGGAGGAAGAAAAAGGGTTGGGCAGATTAAGAAGACCAAGGGAGCGGTCGGAGTCCAGGCATCGGGCATTAATCTGTCTTTTTGTTTTGGCACGTTTGAGTTTAGAATTGTTTGCAGTCAGCGCGGCGGTTCCAACCATGGGTTTGTCTGCATCTACCCCTGCTGTTGCAGTTCAGACCTCAGATGCTTCAGATCATCAGACGGCATCCCCGCCTTCAGGATGTCCCATGCATGAAGGGAAAATGAAAGGTAATTGACCCTTTGTCTAGAAAATAAAAACAAAAGAGAATTCTCAAAAGGATTTTGAGGGAGAGGCAGCATAACACGCTAGTGGGGCAAGGTGAGTTCTCTCCTTATGGTGCTACTTACAAGGTATGAGACTGTAGACAAGTTACTTTTCTAAGTCGCAACTTGTCGTCTGAAAGATGAGGATATAATAATATTTCACAGGGCTATTGTGACAAGTAAGATAGTGCATGAGAGTGGAGTGATGGCTCCATACGTTAACCCTTACCCCTCAAAGTTTGCAGTTAGCGTTTCTCAACCTGGGTGGCCACCCCCGTTCTCCCCCACCCAGGGGGATAACATTTGGCAATGTCTGGAAACATTTTTGTTGGTCAAAACTGAGAGGAGGTGTTGCATCCAGTGAGTAGAAGCCAGGAGTTCTGGTAAACATCCTGCAGTGCACAGTACACCTCTGCGACAAAAAATCTCCTGGCCCCAAATGTCAAGAGTGCTAAGGTTGAGAAACCTTGGTCTAGATCTGTCTTTATCTGTCAAGGCAACTTTACATCTGTTGCATTATTCATCTTTGTAAAAGTAAGTCATTGCTTACGGCCGTGCTGTTCTTTCCTTGGGTGCAGAGGTGAGAATGGATGGTCCACATTTGCTTTAGATTGTTTATATAAAAGTATGACCTGAAAAACAGTTCCTTGCATTGTACTCTTTGATTCCCTTGGTCATTCAGCAAGATTTTACTCGCTGCCCAGTCTGTGCCAAGCACTGCTGGGTTTTGTTTTTTCGCTGAGAGAAGAGCAATGTATAGAACAAAAAATCCTTTGCCTAATGGAGTATACATTCTCATCCTCGTAATCCTGTGTGGTAGGTTTTCTCCGTATTTTTTATTCAGGAAACTTAAAAGCCACACATCTAATAAGTGGCAAAGCCAGCAAAAACTCTGTGACCTTGGACAAGGACAGACCCAGTGCTCTTCCAGGGTTTCTCTGTACAGGAAGAATGGAGACAGTTGGACAGAGCTGATGTGTTCCTACTCTGAGTGTCCCCGGGTAGATCATAGAGCCCTGAATATGGTTTTATTTCATTTACTGTGTATCCAGAAGAGTCGTCAGTCAGATTTGTTTGCATAAGTAAAGAATGTGGATATTTGTAGGCGGCTAAAGGGGCTCCTGGTTATATGGGAAATATATCAGTATTTTCTCACACCCAGCTGGGATCAGTGACCCAGGAGAGATTGGCACTCTTGAATGGGAGCAGAAAGGTGGTAGAGCAAGTCTCCCTTCACCCCTCAAGTGGACAGCTGTAAAGGGTCCTAGGGAATGAGGGTCTGCGAGGAGAAATGGGAAAGGAAGTGAAAGGAAACTTGTCTTTGGTGTGGAGGGCATCCAGCATATTCTTGGTGTTACTGCTGCTGCCTAACACAAGGGCCCCTTACTTGGGCAGCTGTCTTCCTGGGCCGCGGCTCTCCCCGTGCCTGCCCCCTCTCCGCAGTGTAAGACCAGCTTCTCAATCTCCACACTTGCTTCCAGTAGCACCTGGATTCTTGGACATCAGCTGCCCCTTCTGCTGCTGCTCTTGTAGGTTCAGACCTTCCCTCTTAAGTGGCATCTGGACCCTACATGGACTATGGAACATTTTCCTTAATATGTGCCTTTTCTTGCTAAATGCTTGCTATCAATTGATGGGGAATAGAACCCCATCAAGGGGTAGTTTTCTGTGCCTTGTTTCTATCCTGGAGCAAAGCACAAGCAGAGGGGCATTCAGACTTTTCTCCAGGAGCCTTTTTGAAGGCTCCTCTGCTCATTTCCATCTTCTGTCTCCAGTACCCGAGAGAAGGCGTCAGTAAGCCTGGCGTCCTGTGTCCTCATCAGGGCTGGGCCTTGTCTGGAATCTGAATTGAAAGTCAGGGAGACCCGGTAAAACATGGCTGGGCCTCTGCTTAGGTTCCTCCGTGACAGCTCGCTGCTGGGAACCCACGCAGGTACCTACTAGCCCATCTCTAAAACCACGGAATGCACAATACATTCTTTTGCAAATGTTGAGATTTGTTTGTTTGTTTTTGCTGGGGGCATGACACAGTAAGGGAATGGGTACCCATTTCTCTTTCAAGGGGAAAGTAAATTTGTAGAACCTTCTGGTCTATAGGATATTACAATGTTAGCTAGCCTGGCTCTTGGCAACTTGGAACCATAGAAACCTGGCTTTGCCTTTGATGGTGATCACTGGTCAGAAATCCAGCTCTTTAGGGCCAGGATTGAGAGAGCCAGATGTCCTGCCTTTGTGGTGACACTTTTTTACTTGATTTATTTCAGGCTGTCCTGTGAGCACAGAGCCATCTAACCCAACTTGTGAGAACAAAATGAACTCTGTGCCCTCCCACCAAGATCGTGCGTATGAGTACGTGGAATGTCCTGTTACGGGCGCTGTGGCTGAGAATAAGGAGAACCTAGATCCTTCTAATCTGGTAATTCACACCCAGCCCCTCTTCCTGGAACATTTTCTGCCGAGATGCTTTCATGAACTCCCAAGACAGACTGCTGACTGCTAGGATTAATTCTCCTTTCCTTTTGAAATAAGTCTGATATTCCATCCATATTGAAAATCCTGAATGCATCGCTAATTGTAGTTTCAGAGAGTGCCTGATAAAGGGAACACTGATCATGAAGTGCCAGAGTAGGCTGACTGGAAAGAAGCCACGCCAAAGGAATGTTTCCTTTAGAGATAGTGGAAGGCGGGAAATCCCATTAGGAGTGCAGCTAGAATTGGTAAAGGTGTTTCTGGTCTTGGGAAACCTCATAGGCACGATGCCTGATTAGGCTCTGTTTTCCAGCACAGCTGGGTACCAGCCTGTGTGAGAGTTGCTGGTGTGGTACAGCGTCACGGGGCAGCCACCAGTGGGATGCCGCTGAGAAAGCAAGGACAAGACAAGCATGGCCTCACCGCATTCTGTGATAGTGTAGGAAATGGAGGTTTCTTGTTTGAAATCACATTTTAATGGAGAGACAGACAGACTCAGATCTGTACTCTGGAAGGCCAGAATAGGCTTCTTAGAAGGCCAGGGTTATCAGAAGTATTTAGACATATTGCCTAACATTTGAAGGAACTAGAAATATTTAGTCTGGAAGCGAAGGGGTGTGTGTGTGTGTGTGTGTGTATGTCATATAACATAACATTTATAACAGTACCATCAAGTGGGTGGTTTGTAAACAACGGACATTTCTTTCTCGAAGTTCCAGAGGCTGAGAAGTCCTATTGGAAGGTGCTGGCAGATTCAGTAAATTTGGAGGGACACAAACATTCAGCCTCAACACTCAGTAATGACCCTGCCAAGCTATTAGGAAACTGGTGTGTTGAGGAAGAAGGTGGACAAGATCAGGGCAGCACCGTTGATGTTTGAGGCCAGACAGTTCCTTGCAGTAGGGCACTGTCCTGTGCTTTGTAGGATATTAGCAGCATCCCTGGTCTTCACCTGCCAGATGCCAGGAGCACCCTCTTTTTCTCAGTCACGACAACCTAATGTGTTTCCAGATATTTCTAAAAGTGCCCCCGTAAGACTACTGTTCTAGATAATCTCTAATAGTCTAGTGGGTCAGAACATGGGCCTTTTGGAACCCCACAGACCTAGACTTTTACCCATGGGATCGTTACCTGTAGCAAGAATATTAATAACAGCCAGCATTTCTTCTGGTGATATCTGTAGCCCTTGGGCTAAGCACCATACACACCCTCCAGTAACCCTCGTCCCCATCTTTAGAGCTGAAGCCACTGAGAACGGGCGAGCATGCAGTTTGCCCCACATCACTCAGCTAGGAAGCAGCAGGTCCCAGACTGAATCCCAGCTGCCTCTGACATGTGTCCTTCAACCCCCTGTGGTGACGATGCAGGGAAAATGCTCAGTGTGGTGCCTGGCATACCCGGTTCTCCCGCTACCGTCATTCTAGCTGGGGCGGGGGGGGGGGGGCCGTATCGTGATTTAGTGATAAATGTGCATCTGCTAGAAGATCTTTCATACTTGCAACACAAAAGAAGTTCTAGGCCGGGGGTTCTCAACCAGGTGTGATTTTGCCCCTGGGAGGACGTTGGTTGTCATAGCTTGGGAGGGGTACTGTTGGGTAGAGACCAGGGAGGTTGCTAAAAATCCTACAGTGCTCAGAACAGACCCCCATCACCATAAGTCGTCCAGCTCCAAATGGCAGCGGTGCCTGGGGTGAGAACGCTGGTCCAGGGAAGGCGTTTGCACGACAGTGTTGCTGCCCCTTGTGTCTGCGAGGAAGGAGGCTTGTGGTGTCGCTGCTCTATAATGTATTCGGTCCGGAGACCGAAAGCATCGGCAAGATCCTAAAAGTAAAGAATTTTTTTTTTTTAAGATTTTATTTATTTATCTGATGGAGAGAGACACAGCAAGAGAGGGGACACAAGCAGGGGGAGCGGGAGAGGGAGAACCAGGCTTCCTGCCAAGCAGGGAGCCCGATATGGGGCTCGATCCCAGGACCCTGGGACCATGACCTGAGCCGAAGGCAGACACTTAACGACTGAGCCACCCAGGTGCCCCACGAATATTTTAAAAGAAAGTGGTGGTATACCTATATTTTATGAGATTTTTCCTCAGAAGAGTGAACAGTCATTTTTGAAAAGCTCGTCATAGAAAGGTTTTTAGAAACGTCTACAGTCATGATACTAGTTTTTACTTCTTAATCCTTGGGGAGAAAGAGACAAAGAATGTTAACCGCAGTGTGTATTTACCATTTGTGAGAACTTCAACAAGAAGGAAAACCTTTGGAACTCCGACTCTTCAGAACAGCCAAATTATCTGGGAGAGCTGAACTTTTGCCATCACTGGCATAATAGGGAACCTGTACCTTGTGTGTGATGCATTGCTTTCCAGAAAGTCATTGATTATTATTGTTTGTTTCTACTTTATGTCCTATTTCCAACATTTAAAAAAATCTGCTTAATTTACCTAGATGCCACCACCTAATCAGATGCCGGCCCCCGATCAGCCGTTTGCACTGTCTACTGTGAGAGAGGAGTCATCCATTCCGAGAGCAGATTCGGAGAAAAAGTGGGTTTATCCTTCCGAGCAGATGTTTTGGAATGCAATGTTACGGAAAGGGTGAGTGAGCATATTACTGAGAGTATAAATTTGCTCATCAAATTCATTTAAGAATTAAATGTTAAAGAGGTTTTCATCCCCAAACATAAAGTTTTTGTAAGCTAATCCGTATATAATATTCAACTGATTTTTTCAGACTTAAAAGAATTTAAATGCAAGGCCAGTGTATTAGTTGGGATTCTCCAGAGAAACAGACCTAACAGGATGTGTTCTTATACACAGAGATTTATTATAAGGAATTGACTCACGTGATCATGGAAGCTGAGAAGTCCCATGGTCTGCAGGCTGGAGACCCAGGAAGAACTGATGTTTTCATTCCAGTCCAAAGGCAGGAAAAAAACCAGTGTCCCAGTTCAAAGGCAATCAGGCAGGAAGAGCTCCCTTTTATTTGCAGGAGGCTCATTCCTGTTTTATTTAGACCTTCAACTGATCAGATGAGGCCCACCCACGTTAGGGAGAGCACTCTGTTTTACCCGTTTAAATGTTATTCTCATCCAAAACACTCTCACAGACATACCCAGAATAGTGTTTGCCCAAATATCTGGCCCCGCCCCACATGGCCTAGTCAAGTTGACACATAAGGTTAACCCATCATCGCCATTAGTTTTTAAAAAATACCATTATGGAAAATACTTAAAGTTGGGGAGTCATTAATCAGTGGTACTGACTGAAAAACTGTCACCTTATGGTCCTTTGATATGTGTGTAAGTGGTTCTTGGTCACTATAGGTGAAACGGATATGTGCATTGATAGCGCAGAATCCTCAGTAAGGTGTATCGTGCTTTAGCGGACGTTCTTTCCTAGGTGGAAGTGGAAGGAGGATGATATTAGTCAGAGAGACATGTATAATATCATCAGGATTCACAATCAGAACAACGAGCAAGCCTGGAAGGAGATTTTGAAGTGGGAAGCCCTTCATGCTGCGTAAGTATGTCTGAGATCTTAAACAGCCATCCTTCCAGCATCTTTCTTATTTTATCCCAGCTTTCTAGAGTTTGAACCTTTTATTCCAACAGCGTGTTATATAATACATTTTAGGTGGTGGGCCTGCGTCAGTGACTAGTGATAGACCACTCCCACGCAGCTGTGTGAAATGGCAAGCATTTTGTTACGCTTATGGATTCGGTGGGTCCCAAGTGCAGAGAGGACGGAGCAGGGATGGCTCGTCTCTGCTCCCAGTGTCTAGGGCCTCGGCCAGGTTCTGATCAGGGATGGCTTGACAGCCATGGGCTGGAATTCTCTGAAGGCTGGACCATTTACTCATCTGGTGATTGATGCCGGCTGTCAGCCAGGACACCTCCCTACAACCTCTCATTGTGGCTGCTGTGGTGGCTGGGTTCCCAGAGCTAGAATTCCAGAAGGCTCCAGGGAAGCTACATCTCCCTTGATGACCTGGCCTCAGCTGTCCCACAAGTCTGCCCAGGTTCAAGGGGAGGGGCTGTAGACCCCACCTTTCAGTGGGAGGAATGCCGCTTTCCACTGAAGGCACAGCATGTGGGATGGGAAATGGTACAATGCTCTCTGCCCCAAAGCTGATAAGAAAAGTGGTTCTGTTCCCTTAGCAGCATTGAATCCCCATTAGGACTAAACATCGAGGGTTGTCTTAGCACGTGGGCCTTTTTCTCGGAGAGAATAGGTGACTGCAGTCGAGTGTGTTGGCAGCGATGGACCATCAGTCAGCTCGAGCAGTCGTCCTCATACTTGAGCTGCGTCGGCATTGCGTACGGGTTTACTAAAACACTGAGTGCTGGGCCCCCACCCCCAGGGTTTCTCAATCAGTAGATCTGGGGTGAGGCCCAGACTTGGGCATTTCCAGAACAACACAGATGCTACTGGTTTGAGGAGTCCACCTCGAGAAGGGTAGGGGTGGGGAATGTCAGCGCAAAAAGCCAGATTGTATCATCACGGGCGGATTACATTTTAAATTCATGACAGGATCGCCTGGGGTGGCTCAGTCGGTTAAGCGTCTGTCTGCCTTAGGCTCAGGTCATGATCCTGGAGTCCCGGGATCGAGTCCCGCATCGGGCTCCCTGCTCGGCGGGGAGTCAGCTTCTCCCTCTGCCTCTGCTCCTCTCCGTGCAGGGAGTCTGCTCCTCCCCCTGCTTCTTTGCCTCCTCGGTCTTGAATAAATGAAGTCTTTAAAAAAAATAAAAATAAATTCATAATAAAAGTGATTAACTTCTTGGCTAAAGTCCACTGAATGATTTTGTTAAGATGTTCTGGGTTTTTTTTTTAGTATTTGGGCTCTGAGGTTCATTAGTAGCACTCCCTGGGTGTCCTGGGCAGTCACCAGGCCTGGGAGGGGTCCGTGTGAGGAGGGAATGGCTCAGCAACCAGGATTCCCTTCTCGGTAACCCAAGGCCAGCAGGACTCAGCTCTGTCCCCCTCCCAGCTCTCTAGTGAAGTGAGCCGCAAGTGTCCGAACGTGTGCTGGAGCGAAAGCCACCTGCTAACTACGTGTAGCGGGGCGTTGGGGCAGAGAGAAGACACACAAGGAGGTTCCACTTTGTTGGTTTCAGCCCCCCTTCTAGTCATTTTTCAGGGTCCCTCAGAATTAGGTCGGCCTTTTAAAGACACCTGCTACAGCCTCCAGGGGAAAGCCTGCCTGGGTTGAGTATACTTCTTTGCCAGTGACCCTCTTGAGAAGAGCTGCTAGTGAGTAGTCGATAAAGCAGGAAGTAAAGTAAGGCCGAGGGGCCTCACGTAGGGCTCGGTCACACGGGGGCTTGTTCTCTCCCTCCCACGTCGTTAGGCCCAGCAAGGCTGGGGCCCCTCCTAACAGTGACAGCAGCTAACAAGATAGGGGGCCTCCCGTCTTTACTTACCTAAGGAACTGGTCCAGCACTAATTTCATTTGTTCTTAGGGATTCTTCCAGCATTTTTCTTCAAAAAGGCTTGTTCATTGGTTTCAAATGGAAGAAGAGTGGAGGATGTTCTTTTATTTGTTTAAAAAAAAGAAAAACCCTGCTGCCGGGTGTGAAAGTCGAGTGTAATGCCCAATACTTAACATTTCTTTTTTTTTTCCCCTGAGAATATACCTGTACCCACCCCCAGCAAGTGGAGAGTCCCCTTCCTGACTCCTGGCAAGATTGCTGTATTCGGAATGTAGTGGAGGTGGTGCAGCGTCCTTGAACCAGAAATACAGAGCAATATTTTTATCAAATAGGGATATTTCTTTGAATTGTTTTGAAAGTTCTCTCACTCTGTAAACATGAAATTATGTAAAATGCATACAGAAAAATGTGTGTTGTCGAGAACTGCAACATCACATTTCTCAACGGAGGGAAAATATTTTAATAGGCTTTTCTTGTTTGGAAATTTCTAGGGAGTGTCCTTGTGGTCCATCATTGATCCGGTTTGGAGGTAAAGCGAAAGAGTATTCACCAAGGGCAAGAATTCGTTCCTGGATGGGGTGAGTGGCAGTGCAGAAATGTTATCGTACGTTCCTCAGGTCAGGGTCCGCTTTCCCTTGGCACCCAAGCCAAGCACTCAGAACTGCAGTGCCATCTTCCAAAATGTTATCAGGATTCAGCTGGAGATCTCTCCCTCTCCCTCAAGTTTGCCTGTTGGTGGGCAGACTTCTTCAGGTTTCGTGCGTCGTTCCCTGTCTGATTATCGTAGCCCTGAGCTGAGTTGTCTTCTGTGTTTTCGGAACTGTCCGCTTCTCCTCCCGCGGTCTCTCTGCATCTGGGCACTCAGCATCCCCCTCTTTTCTGCCAGCCTAGACCGATTCTTAGGTCGCCCCGGGAGCTCTGCAGTGTCTCAGCCGACCTCCCTGGCCTGGTCTCTTTCCTGTAGACCGTGTTGCCTTGCGGGCAAATGAGCCGTCGTCTGACGTGGGCTCATCACGGCTCTGCGGCACTGTCTTCAACACAGTAGACGGGTGCTTCGAGCCTCACGTCCTGGTTAGACCTTCGACCCCGAGAGCAGGAGTTTTCATGCTCGCAAACATGTTTTCATTTCAGCTACGAGTTGCCTTTCGACAGGCACGACTGGATCATCGACCGTTGTGGGACGGAGGTCAGGTACGTCATCGACTACTACGACGGCGGGGAGGTCAGCCGGGACTACCAGTTCACCGCCCTGGACGTCCGGCCCGCCTTGGACTCGCTCTCGGCGGTGTGGGACAGGATGAAGGTCGCGTGGTGGCGCTGGACTTCCTAACCGCGGCTTTGTTAGAGATGGGGAAAGAGAAACTGTTTTTTTCCCAAGCAATACATTAAACTATTTTCCCCAAACTGAATTGCTCTCATGATGTAGTGGGAATGGCAAGTAGGTGAGGACGCCTTTCACGTCCCGTGGTGAGGGTGCCCTGTGCCGCGTTCTTTGGTTTTTACCTCGTGCGGTCTGTAGCAGGTAGTTGGAGGTTTCCTTCCCACTTGGCCTAAGTGGGAAGCGCGCTCCCTTGGTTTTTCCTTCAGCTGCAGTATTGCCTGTGTATTTAATCTAGAAAAGTGAGCAGCATCTGAAAAAGAAGGTTTCTTGTCATGTGAAGAGAGCTGCTTTTCTCCTTACTCTTTCTCAGGAATACTTGAGACGTAGATCTGAAAGCCCACGTTCTGCTGAGGAGCTTTTAGCTGGCCAGGTATTTGAACTAATACTATTTATTACAAATAAGTAGTTCTGCTTTTGAAAACGTTACCAGCGTCTCACTGTCCCTACAAGAGCAGCACGCCCTTAAGAAGACGCAGAGCTATCCACTGGCAATGCCCTCAGCAAATCGAGAGCGCATCTTGGCTCCAGATTCTCAATTGTGAGAATTTTTCAGGCTGGACCTTGTTCTAGAATAGTTTCAACTCCCCCATGGTTTGATGATGCACGTGCATTGGAATCTGTGTTTTCACTTTTTAAAAGATTCTCATTTTAACTCCCACTACCCTGCTCCGTACCTCTGCTCCCAGCAAGCACGTCTCACTGCCTGCGGCATTTGACAGTTTATGCCCCCCCCCTGAGTCCTGCTCCTCCTGCCTGAAGCCCTCCCTCCAGCCGGCCTCACCAGAACCTTGAAGGCTTGGCGCTAATCGCAGCACCAGGACGGTCCCTCTCGGAAACACGATTCTATGTTGTTGAGTGTTAGGATTTACAAGAAGAGTGTTCTTCTCCAGATACAGAATGTTTCATCGACTCACTGTCTCGGTGCAGATTTTTTTCAGGGAGCTCAAAGTTTGCCGTTGAAATTCTTTCTACCATTGATTCATAAACTGGTTGTTCTACCTACAGCATGTTACAAATGACTCTTGGGGGTTTTCTTAAGTGTTGATAATATTCTTTTGATTTCCCTGGAGTCTGGCGTTAAGTTAGTTGAAGGAACTGGCAGTCGAGTGATTCATTTGATACCGATTTTTTTGTTGTGTTGGTTTTGTGTGGTGTTTTCAAAATCGAACAACTTGAAAATCTTCTACATGTCAAAATATTTGTATATTTTAAAATAAAATAAAGCTGATTGATAGTTCCCAGGTTTGGATTTTCAGAGTCACTTCCCATGTCGCAATTATTTCTGCAGAGAGAACCGTCCCAGAAGTCATGCTGTAGTCTCCCTGCTAGCGGCCGTTTTCCCCCTCTCTTAATCACGTTTTAAGCTACTGAGAAAAAGAATTACTGTTGGCATATTTTTTTTGGTCCTCCGTGCTACTGAGTAAGTGTAGGATAAGGCATCATTATGGGAAACAAAGTGGTGTAACTGGAAACTGAAAATTGAGCCCTAGGCAGGGGTTCCCGCCCCCCCCCCCCGAAGAGCTGTACTCGTTCTTGAGAAAAACCACCCCTGTAGTAAACCGTCGAGCAGAGCTGAGGACGAGGTCAATGCCATTCCACCTTCCACCACTCCTGGAAAAGACAACAGCCTACTGGGTTTCAGAGCTCTTTTGGGGCTAGATCGTACCTGCTCATTCGTGTCCAGGGGTCAATACTCCCCTCCTCTGAGAGGAGGCTTCATTTAGAACTTAAAATTCATTGTGGATGTTCTCCGGGGTTTTAGGCTAAGTCTTCTCTCTACGGTGTTAGCCCTGTTCAGAATCAGAACTGTCCTAAGGCCAAGTATTAGTGAACAGGGTGGGGTTGGAACTGGGCTTGTATATGAAACTGGAGCATTCCTAGCAGTTCCCTGTGTCTAGGGAGCTGTGCCCTCTGCATCGCCCCGGGAATAGGAAATGCAAAAAGGGCAGCCCTGACCCGCGAGGTACTCAGTCTTTTGAGGGACAGTCTGTAAATGAAATGATGGTAAGTCCAAGAATCCTAATTTAAAAACAGCCTGTGGTAATCTAGGGGGTGCAAGTTTACTTAAGTATTTTTTAATATATATTGAATGTATAGTTACCGATTTGAGTTCATCCTCTACCAGAGTTTCTCCTTCCTAGCTAAAGTGAAGAGATGCACACTTGATGCCTCCACTCCACAGTGACTATGGGACTTGTACTATGGACCGTGTGTGTCTTCATAGGCTTAAGGCCACGTGCGGTGACAAAACAATGCACGTCCTCCAAAAGGTACATGTGCCCCCATGTTCACTGCATTATTTGCAATAGTCAAGACATGGAAACAACCTAAGTGTCCACCAACAGATGAATGAAGAAAATACAATATACACAGTAGACTATCACTCAGCCGTAAAAAAGAAGGAAATCTTGCCATTCGTGACAACATGGATGGACCCTGAGGGCTTCATGCTAAGTGAAATAAGACAGAGAAAGACAAATAGCATATGCTCTCACTTACATGTGGAATCTAAAAAAAAAACCGAGCTCATAGGTACAAAGAATAGATTAATCACTGCCAAACGTGGCGGGGGTGGGGGGTGAAATTTGTGAAGGAGGTTGAGAGGTACAAGTCTCGGGTATAAAAGCAGTCATAAGGATGTCACGTATTGCATCTTTGAAAGTTGCTAAGAGAGTGGATCTAAAAAGTTCTCATCAAGGGCGCCTGGGTGGCTCGGTTGAGCGACTGCCTTCGGCTCAGGTCATGATCCTGGAGTCCCGGGATCGAGTCCCGCATCGGGCTCCCTGCTCGGCGGGGAGTCTTCTCCCTCTGACCTTCCCCCCTCTCATGCTCTCTCTGTCATTCTCTCTCTCAAATAAATCTTTAAAAAATAAGTTCTCATCAAAAGAAAAAAATTCTGTAACTATTCATTTCCCAATATATGCAAATATCAAATCATTACATTATACATCTGAAACTAATGTAGGTCAATTATACCTCAATTAAAAAAAGAACGTGAGTTAAGAGTCCAGCTCGAGCCTTCACTTGCTGTGTGATCTTTGGGTCCCAACTTTGTCAGCCTTAAAAAGAGTAATAAAACTGTTTTCGTCTGTTGAGGCTGCTATTACAAAATGCCACTGGCTGCGCAACTTAACAAACAACAGAAGTGCACGGGTCACAGTTCTGGAGACGGGAGGCCCGAGGTCAAGGCAGCGAGGCTTCAGTGCCGGGTGAGGAGGTTCACTGGAGACCCTCTCCTCCGGGGTCCTCCTCCCAGGAAGGGGCGAGAGAGCACGCCGCAGTCTCCTTTATGCAGTCTCCTTTATACAGACGCTAATCTCATCCCGAGGCTCCACCCTCATGACCTAAGCACCTCTCAAAGGCCCCGCCTCCTAGTACCATCAACATAGGGATTTGGGGTGGGGGGGGGCACAGGTCCAGACCATAGCGCCCACCTGTGAGAGTTGTTTCCAGGTACTGCAAGATGACACCTGAGAGCACTTAGAGCCCGCAGTGGGACATGCTCCCTGTATGTCAGCCATCAGCTCATCATCACCAACAAGGAAAGGATGGTCCGAGGGGGCGGCTGGGCGTAAAAGAAGTTATTAAGTCTACGTAGTGGGCCGCCCTCCGCCCCCCTCTCCCAAGGAGCAGCTGCCTGCCAGTGGACTAGCAGGGGCCCCTCCTGATTTGGGTTCATTGGAAGGATTAGCAGGCACTGGGGTGCTTGCTCTAAGCAAGCTCATAGTATTTAAAATCTCTATAGGGACAAGGCAGGGAGCAGTCTTTGACCTGTTGAAAACTAGAAACACGGCAGGGTGACATTTGGTTTACTTCATAAGCAAGTCCCGCTAGAGAAAAATAAAGGTTATGATTAGGCTCCTGTGCTTCCTAATCTAAAATGTAGCTCACGGTGTCCTTAGGATCACAAAGGTATCCAGATTTAAAACAGGTTATGTTTCCCGCACGTAAAAGAGTACCAAAAATTATTTCCAAAGCCACGTATTCCTCGTAACTTCAGTCAAAATTTTGAAAATTACGTAATTTCTTAAACATACAGCATATTAAAGTGATGCATATTAGTTATTCCTTCCCCCTTTAACAGAATGATATACTTACTGCTGTGGCAGAGGTCCCGTAATAAAATGCCATGCCATTTGTATAAGCGGTAAATGCTTCATGCTTGTGCGCACCCTTGTTGTGAAGAGAAGCTGACAGCACTTTGTGCCAAGTATTCACCCTGGTGTCACACTCGCATAGTGAGTGGGATCGTAGCAGCTGCTGGAGCAGACGTTAAAAGTTTCTAAGAAGTTTCTATGTCTACTTGGGGGATGAGGCATGGACACATGGGAGCTAGCTTGGGTTTATAATTAGCTTTTACTTAATGCTGTCACATGCACAATGTCCCGTGTGATGGGGCCATGGAAACGACAACCCGAGTGCTATAACGTAGCAACTGCGTGGAGAGAGAAGACTTCACGATCGGAGTGAGTGGCCTCCTGAAGGACAGTAAAGGTTACTGGTTTGGAGCTCTGCTCAGAATCATCATTTAAACACTTTGCTTTTTCTTTCTACATTTTGGATACGTTCATGTGGCCAGTTCCCGTGGCTCTCCAGTGGTTTGACATGGAATATTTTCAGGATGCTTTTGGCTACAAGTAGCAGAGTCCTTGCTGGGACTTCTCACCACAAGTGCAAGGTTGAGTGTGTGCCTGGTCGAGTCCAGCTCTCTCATGCTGTTCCCTTCATGCTTAATTTCAGCTTCATCTTGAAAGGGGGGATTCCTTTCATCATCCTCAGATGGCTCCTAGCTGCTGCCTGAGCTTTACAATGCTTGTTTATGGCCGGCAGGTATGATGTGGGGCAGGAGGGGGGTGTCTCCCACAACCATGGAAAATAAGGTTACTCCTCTTCAAGCTCACTGGGCCAATTCAGCATTAGGTCTGTGTCCTGGCACCTCCTACCCTTGTACATTCCCAGGAGAGTGTCTCGTGCTTAGCCTAACTCAGACGAATCATTTAGAGTAAACTGCGGTGCCCACAGGAGGATTATTTCACTACGAATTTTTAAATCCCTTTCGCTCAGTTGTCACCCCAGAGGCAGGAGCTCCTCCCCCGGGGAAGTTCCCGCTGAGCCCCTTTCCTTCATGAAGGAGACCCAGGGCTCCGAGAACCACAGAGCTTTGTTCATGCCTCTCTGAATTATCCAGATGGCAGGCTGGCACACCTAGACGGCTTGCCACCAAATCCTGGTTCTGCCACCCTATAGTTGTGTGACCTTGGGCAACTCATCTGAGGTCACTCCGAGTCACCTCTGCCCTCCGACAAGAGAGGATGGTTGTGGTTCCTGTCTATTGCTTGTGGGGGTTAAATGAGTGGTGGAGTAAAACACTTGGGTTTGAGCAGATGTTGTTAATAAATGTTAGTTACTAGTACCAGCATCTTGCAGCAGAGGGTCCCAATTTGTTTCTTCTAAAGCGATCTCACGTGGGACACCGATTCGCTGCTATTTGTTGGCCATTAATTCAGCGCCGCTCCAGGTTGTTTCTCCCTTAACCCTCAGAACAATCCCGAGGGCGAGGTGTTTTTATGCCCTGACTCCCCTGAGCAGAGAGGCAGAGAAGTGAAATGGGCTGGGCCGAGGTCACCCAGCTCATGAATGACAAAGCCAGGACTCAAACCTCGTCCTCTTTGAACCCGGAAGCCCACACTTTAAAAAAGGTCATTGTTCTTTTCAGTCATTAAGTGAGCACCAACCAGGAAGCATGCAGATATACATTTACTTGCCACGTTTACTATTAAATTTTTCTTAAGAATGGAAAGGTACCACATCCAAGCCACCTGCCCTCTCTGTCCCAGATATCACAGAGCTGGGCGATGCGTCTTCGTGAGGCCTGGCTGGTTAGGAGACAGGGTCTCTGTGCTCGCCATTAGCTTCTCCCCAGACTGTGCCCCCGTTTCCTCAAAAGCCTTTGGCAAACATACCTCTATCTCTACATTTGCTGGGAGGTCAACGGACTTGTATTTTTTTCTCCATTGCATGGGAAACTGCCTGATCATATTCATATGCATATGTTTGGCCAACATTTATCAAATGCCAACCGTATTGCTGGGTCCCTGCCCAGTCCCGAGCACCTAGTCCCTGCCATCAAGGACAGAGTGGGAATGACCTCGAGATAAGACATGCAGCAGTCCTGAGAACGCACAGCAACGCTTGTTAAAAACGGCCATGTGCGCCAAGTGCCTGAAAAATGATATGATTCAG